GTTAATACCGCATCACAACGGCATGGATTACTGTAATAGAAAACTATGCCACTAGCGTTACTCCTTTCTTGTTGGTTTATGCAATAGGCCAAACAAAATCCGCAGAGGAACAAGTGCTCTGAAATCGACGTCTGCTCCTTTTTCTTTGTATTTTTTTGAAGTATTATTTAGAGGTTACTATGCTTTAGTGTAGTCACGCGCCACACGCAGATTTCACAGAACAAAGACGCTGTCTTTACGATACTTCTGGTTTGAGGGAGGCTGCAAGTACACTATTGCATTGGAACTTCTTGAAAGAATTAAAGAGACATGAAGAAAACTGACGCAGAAAGTAGCGACGGCGGTTTTTATTTGATTTAGCCGTAACCTGTGCTTGAAATTATTTTATTTATAGGAAATGATGTGAGTTTATTGAATAACGTGGGTTTTGAACTTACTTCATATTCGGCTAGGGATGATACTTCGCTATCCCGTTGAGTATGAGTTTCCACGCGCTCATAGGACGGTTCCAACGAATCCGTACTTGTTTCGAGAAGTGGTATTGTAGAGACGATGGGTTCATGTTCAAGTGAATCCACCGGCGATGCAATTGGTGTTGCACTTCTGAGATCTTCCTCGTCAATTGGTCTTGTCTTCACTTCAGTTTCCTAGAACAAAGGTGCGTTAGGCTTTCTAGCTTTCAAGGGTCAGGAAAGAATCCACTGTTTTATAGACTCAATCCTTCAAACTTGGTCAAGCTGACTTACCGAATGCTCTTCTTCATCATCGTCACGGATGCTCATATCTTCGACCTCCGATTCTTCACGAATCTCAGGAAGCATTGCGACTTCTTCTTGAGGTGAGATATTTGCAGTAAGCTCTTGTTCCAATTTTTCAAATTCTGCCAGTGAACTAACTGAGCCCTCGCCGGAACCGCTGGATCCAGCGCATCGCAGTTTTCCAGCTGCATAGAGCTCAATCTCACTAGCACTTAAGCTGCCTTCTCCATGATTTATTACAATTTGCTCTAAGCGTTCAAATTCTTGAAGGCTGGTAAGAGACACATTGTCGCTTGATACGTGTTTATACTTCCCAACCAACGCTAATGTGTCTGAAGGTACTCCTACGGACGAATTACCGCTGCCATTAACTGATTCAACATCTTCAGGCTCTTCTTCTACTGTTTCCAATTCACCCTCTCCCATAGGAGTCTCTTCAATTGGTGAGCAAATCACAAAACCTTCTTCGTTGTCACTTGTTCTGTCTTTTGCTGATTCTTCAGACAAAGGTGACTCCATCGTCTGGTCTTTCTCCAGTCGCTCCTCAGTTTCGTCGCTAATTTTTGTGGGCGATCCACTAGATTGTTGGGATCCACTACTTCTGAAAACCAATAGAATTTTATACTTTTCCAGAACTCGTAATGCATCTCTTAGGGTTTCAATAAGATTTGAACTGGACTGAAGACATTTCTTAAAACTTGTTCTTGAAAGGCTTGTCAACAGAATAATCTGTTCTAGAGCGTAAATAAGGAAGTGTTGAGCATTATCTTACAGAGAAGAAAATAATCTGGAAATTTTCAATTTTGAGAAATGGAAAGCTAATATTTTGATGACCAACCTTTTCTCTTCAGGACTGCTCTCAGGCGAAACTTTATCTAGTGGTTCGGGTGAAGCAGATATAGTTTCAACGGTGGAGGTAATATCTCCAACATCCGCAGCTGATTCCATATCTCCTTTTCCACGTTGTATCACCGTGTCAGCGTAACTTCCAGATGATATGTCAGAAAGTTGTCGAGTATAGTACCTTTCTCCATGGCTATCACTCGTATCGGTCTCTGTAGATTTCCTTTCCAACAATTTCTCACTCGTTTTAGAAGAGGTCTTTTCTTGTGGTTTCTCAACAAAAACGAAGTAATCTTCATCATCATCTGCTTGACGACTAGGCGGAACAGGCGAAATCGGCCGCCCCGGATCCGCTCGAGGAGCTAGTAGTACACCACTTGGACTCATAGGCAGTGTTGCTTCAGACTCTTCCTCCTCTTCAATTGTAACTTGAAGTGGGACGTCCGGCGTCGACCTGGCGGTATCGTCCACAGTAAAGTGTCGTATCACTGGAATTGTCTCTTCAAAGTCTTGATTTGCAGTGAAGTGCCTGTCGGAGTCCACTGGGGATAGTATGGCTAAGGGCGTTACACTTCCTTGTCTTTCTTCTGCTTCACTCAGCCGACTTGTTGCTCCGCTAGCTGCCGTTGTGTACTCCGACTCCTGCGACGTCCATTCCTGTGCTGAGTCGTACGTATCTTGTGAAGTTACACAAGTGTCGTATTGTTCGTCTTTTGAATGTTCTGTTGCCGTATGATAGACATTTGATCCAGATGTTGATGTGAAAGTCTTCGTTTCTTCATGCCCTTCCAAAACAGCGTTTATTGCTTCTTCGACTAAACGAATTGCTGCTTGTTCGATTTCTTGATCACGATCAGCTTCGTGTTCATATTCTGTCTCATCAATAATCTCCAAGTGCTCTTCTTCTTCTTCTACAGAAAATAGTTTCTCGCGACGCTCTTCTGCCAGAATATCTAGTTTTTCCTGAAGATCCGAGTGATAGTCGACTTCAGGCTCCATCGTAACCTCGGAAGATTCCTGCTTGAACATTTTCCGTGGAGACAACTCTGCTTGAAGGCTTGCATTTGTTTCCGCTTCCTGGATTAATTCTTCTGTCAGCTGACTGGAAAACTCCTCGACGACTTCACCTTTATTATCGTAGACCTTCCACTCGTCATCACCAGCAATCGAATGTTGCTCATCGGGATACGATGATGGCGTATGTGCTGATTGCTGTTCAGGTGACTCCAACTCTATCGTGTCTGAGAATCTCATCTTGTAAACATTTTCTATAGCTTCTTCTTCTAGGAAATGGAGAGATGGCTGTGTGGGCGAATGATGGTCTACGGTTTCTTCGGTTCCAGCGATGTCCTCATGTTGGGAAATATCTCTGGATGATGGCGATACCTGTCGCGTTTCGTCTATCCTTTTGTAGTCTTTAAGTTCTGCCTGTGCTTCTCTTTCAGCTTCCTTTGTTGGTAACACTTCTGCCGTCTCGGCTCCTTCATCACCTTTTGGTTGATCCCTATCAAAAAAGGGTAGCTCCTCCACCTTTGTTGGTGAAGACAGCAATCGGTTTTCTAGCTGAGGAGCATAATCTTCTGATGCAATGATATATGGCTTAGTTCCTTCACCTTGTAGACTAAACTCTATATGTTCTTCTTTTAATGGATAGGGCTCTGCGCTGGTGAACATATCTTCGATACGGGTTTCCGGTTTGTGACTATCAAGAGAAAAGGACGTTCCAATTCCTGTGGGTGAAGAGAGCAGTTTCTCTTCCTTTGCAATGGAATAATCTTCCGATGCGATAATATATGGTTCAGTATCTTCAGCTGATGGCACATAAACTGTGTGCTCTTCTTTGACTGCTAAATGGGAGTCTGGAATAGCGAACATATCCTCGGCATGGTCTTGTGGTCCATACTGGGTGGCAGAAATTGGTAAATCCTTCCTTGTAGGAGAGGAGATCGATTTCGCCGGCTCAGCAAAGTAGTTCTTTGACTCAATTACATTAGGTTCACCGTCTCTAGCCTCCTGTGGCATGTATACTGAACTCTTCTCTTCGACGGCCAAACGATAATCCGGACTGGCGGTCATAACTTTGTCCTGAGTTTCCGGCTTAAAACTATCAGCAGAGGCCGGTCGCTCAAGATTGGTAGGCGACAAGAGTTGTTCCTTAATATCGGATAAATAATTTTCAGACACAGTCGTTAGTTCACTTGCTTCATCAGATGGAGCGCGCGAAATATCTTCTCCTTTTGTAAGAGAGGGAGATAATAGCTCAAATTCTTGAGGACGGGGTTCCAAGTTGGACGCCTCGAATGAAGAAGCATCTTCTATCTTCGTAGGCGAGAGAAGAGGTTTTTCTTGTTGGCGAAGTGGTGAGTAATCTTCTGATTCAATAACATGTTCACGCTGTGGAACTGTTTGGGCAGGCAGTTGACAGGATACGATTTCCGCTACTGCTGGGCCTGTCTCCTCAAAAATGTCCTTGCGCATTGTTGGGTCGATTGGTGATTCCAATGGCTTTGGCAACCTCTCCGTTACCTGCTTCTCAAGCTGCTCGTGCAATTCTCCCTCCTTTGGTTCACCTTCTCTTAAAGCATCGTAGGCTGCCGACGCTCCCATGGCTGCCAATGCAACGGGGGCTACAACAACACCTCCCGCAACCTTCGCTGCCTTCGTGGCGAAGCCGGCTAGTTTGTCGCCGAACGACGGACTAGCTCTGCCTTCTTCTG